ATTATTTTAATTTGACGCGTGTACTTCCGGCTTAACATTCACTTCGACGACTCTGTCTATAATCAATACATTCTCCACGAGGTTTACTAGATATAATCTCGTCGATAAAGGGGGTTGTTGAACAGAAAGCAAAAAGAAAAGGGTGTCGTGAAAAAAATGGCTCGTGTAAAATAAGTAGAGGAGGGAAGGAAGTGGCACGTTACCAAGAAGGATGGAGGAAAACCGTTGTAAAGGGAGGAGGGAAAAGTTTACTAGCTTCTCGAATAAAAGACAAGGCCGAGTATCGTGGCTGACCGTAATTCCTTTGTGTTTACTATCCGTGATAACGGAATAGGACGCCTGTCCAGCGAAACACTGCATTCAGAAATCACGGAAGACATTGTCCACTTCCAGTCCATGCTCATTCCAGGCTGTTTGCAGTTCAACTGCCCACTCTTTTATAAGGAGTTTTACTTGCAACGCGTCGTTTCGACAATTATTCAAATGTGTAACGAAGGAAGAAAATTCTGTGAATCAAATAATTTCCAAAATAGCAAAAAGTGGTCTCTCTTTAAATTCAAGGTTCAGTACAAACAAAACATTAATAGAATTATCTTTTCCAACTTTTACTAATTAGTAGCAGTCCAAGAATTTATTAGAGAATTTTGTAACGTCTTAAAATTGCTGACTAAATGCCAAAAAATGGCAATATCGATCCGATAATCCATAAGAAATTGAAGAAACTTTCTCGACAGATCTTAGTGCTCTCATTTTTCTTCACTCTGTCACATCGTTCTTCGTTTTTCGCTTATTCCCCCATTTTTGCTGCCGCTTCGCTTCCTTGGAACACGTCATCGAGAAAACTTAACGAGGACAAATGAAGTGGAAAAGGATGCGCCGTGTTCCTGATTCCCGAATAAACTTTCCTTCATACCTCGTCTAACGTGTCATATAAATTTTCTCTTATCTTGCGAACTGTTCGCGGTTATGTTCTTAACAAAACATTTTTAACAAGTGAAATATTTTTCCAATTACTACATTCTGCATTAGTTTGATTGGTAAATGCCTGCTAGCCACTTGTTTATAATAAATCGTTGCATCCAGTGTGACAAACCAACGCGCGTTATATTGCAGAGTACTTTGATGCGCACGGATAATTAATGCGAATTCAATTAGACTTTGAGATCGCTTCGTAATTATTACGGGTCAATGGTGATCCAACATTCGTTCGAAGAAGAGAACAACCCTCTGCAGTTGCAGTCGTTGTTGGAACAGGAATTACGTTTGATTTCATCGTGCATGATGATGCACGTGGTTGCATCCATTGCACTTGACGAACGAAGTCGAATCGATTAGGATGAAGGAATTTGGATCTTAGAAATCGCTCTTCCGGACAAATTTCTCAAATTCTTCAAATTTGCAAGTCTCTTTTCGATTAAACGACAGAGTTCGATTTTCATCTACTTCAAAGGTTTAAAATTATTGCTCTATACTTTCATTGAATTAATAAATTATCATAAAATTTTTTCAAGTATTCCTGCGGGTCTACTTCGTTCTCGCAAAATTAACGATAACATAGCGTGTCTCCACCGTCTCGTATAAGAAAGTTGCTTTTCCAGAAAGCATAGGTGTTTTTCGAAAAAGCTAGCTACAGATAAAAAGCATCTGGGGAGAGGAAAATTCGATCTCGTGCAGCAGGAATATTCGTCCCGTGGCGTGTACGCTTATTATTCCGGCAGCTTTTTCGTCGGCTGAGCGTATGTGCATATTTTCCTCGTCGCCCAGAAAAAGCTACATACCTCATGGTAGCGTGCATCGTTCGCTGTTGAATTAGAGTACCGAGCCAACGAATTCTTTCTACTCTTTTTCAGCGAGAGAACGTCCATAATAGACGCAGCTAGAAGCATTGACTAACGAGGCCTGTTTCGCGGCCAGTGGCCAGAAGCCGGCCGTTGCATACGAATGCAACGATAAATGCAACGTGCTAACCACCTGTTTTCTAATGCATCAGTAATTGTCGCGGTGCCACGCAGCCACGCGTGCACAATTTACGAATCAAAATTCATTCGATCTATCAAGAAATTGAACGTCGAAATGGCATCATTCAAAATGTTAAGTACGGTAACAGGAAGCAAGTTCAAAATATCTAGGTAAAGAAAAGAAAGTTATATAATTTTTGGGTTGGGAAAATCGAAAACGAAAATCTAAATTAATTTGAGAGAAAATCTTTTTTATTGACAAGATAAAAACGCAATTTTATTCCGTACACGCGTGCATGTAAAATGCACAAATTACGTGAAAATGGAGAATAGAATTAGCTTCCAGTTTATTTCATTCCATTTCGTTTCGTTTTCTTCGTTCAATGAAACGTGCTAATTAACCCCGATGTTTTTGTACGTGATATTTACATTTAAATTAAAAACGTCATATTTCATAGAGAATTATTTACATAACGATAAAAGCATATTTATAATGAACTTCAATGTTCAATGAGGTTTTCACATTCCACATTTACTATTTGCTCTTTATTTTTCTCGTGTGCTATTTTTGAGAAATTCTTTCCACGGTTTAAGCGACCTAATTTTAATTACTGAAGTAGTTGTGCCAAGTACCGTTATAATTAAAGTATAAAATTATGGAAGAAATGTTGCATGTGAAAACTGCAATGACATAGAAAATTCGGGTAATAAAGGGTTGATTCGAACAATTAATCTAAAAGGTACTGTCACAGGTAACAGTATCAGAGAATAATTAAAAATTCAATCAAGCCGCGATACCGCTGATTAAATTCAATACATGAGAATCTTATGTTAGTCTAGTGAATAATTAGCATAAGTGATTGTAATTAATCACGCTGTCGCGTGTCTTCGCGCAAAACTGACGGCAAGAAAGTGAACGATGGCGACTTAGTACGCCGATCTGAAACAGATACGCGAACTCCTTGCTGGCAAATGAAAAACGTGATTAATATTGCATTAACCTAACTGACGTTACGTCTTGATCCTTTAATCGCAGATATCACGCATCATTAATATGCAATTAGATTCATGCTATTATTTGCATTTATCATATATTTCATTCCAGCATTTAACTTCCATTCCGTCTCGTTCAATTAGTATGAACATGCCAAGGTTGTCACGCACTCGTGCTAATTTCAGAAATTGTAATGCCGTTTAATTGATACAATGAAATGTATTAATTAGCGGAAATTAAATGAAGTGATATCTACGGTTTGTACGTATTTTAAAACGTGGAAATGGGATATAAATGAATACTATACACATGAATATATTCCAATCAACTCTTTATTCGAGAAGTATTTTACATTTATTAATTGATTTAATGCTGCAATTCAAAATGATTTCTGATAACGTCTTTTCTTCGCCAATTAACGAACTCCCATTCCGTGCGTCGTTCGCGTGCCAATTCAGCAGTAATCCCGTAGAATCAGGAAAAAACAGGAAACAGCCTAACGAACCTCCACTTTTCCTCGTGCGGCACCATAAACTCGCCGACAATGCGAGCGAGCAGCCGGTCGTTACTTCGCGACAATGTTACGCCGTTCCCGACGAGTGCCATTAAAAGTGTCCGCGGCTGAATCTGGACCAGTTCTCAACCTAGATAGGAAAGGAAAGGAAGAAAATAGGATCGGTAAAGGGGGATGATATCTTTGTCTCGATTTTCCGTGGCGCGAGCAGCCCGTCGCCAGCACAATAAGAATAAGTTTGCGTTACAAGCGGACGAGCAAGGTAGCTTTCCTCGTTACAGAGTATTGTACGCTCGATGCCGGGCACCGGTTCTTGGTCGAACGAAGGCTGGCGGTCGTTAAAGGCCGGGTAGTATCATTATTCTGGAATTTTTCGCGGAAATGCACCGGCTAGACGGTGTACGATATAACCAGAGGAGTCGTTAGTGGCCCGTGGCAAGATAGCGAGCTGTTTCTGAAAATTTCACGCTTCGTGTCCTGACTGGGATTACGAAATTGCCCCTCGATTCGTTCCTCTCACCATCCTGTTTCTTCGACCTCTTTTATGCAATTACTTTTCTCAAACAAAAAAAGGGATTGTTGAAGTAAAACTTAGGGCACATGCCTTCTGTCTCCAGTAGAACTTCGATTTTTTCCCTTCAGTGCCATTAGATGGATAGAATTTGGACTTGGAAACTTTTATCTCCGTCCTCTGAGTCTTCTTAGTACCGTTCTTTCGTAGGTACAGATATCAAGAACCCGTCCGAAAGGTCGGCGACACACGGTACTCAGATTCTAATCAAAAAATCAAAGAATCCTTTCCATTCTATCGATTTGAAAATCTGGAAACTCGATAGATAACCGAAAGTTACCATCGGTACGATCGTCGAACAGAATACAGCCGATCATTATTCACTTGCCACCGCTTCAAACAATGGCTATTAAGCCGGTCCTTTCGTCCGAACTGACTGGCCATTAAGTACAGAAACGAGCTATCCGGAGTGAAAAGCCATCAACAGGACTTCCCGCGAGCCGTGGGTCGTGTCAATCGTACCGAAGCTTTTTGGGTCAATCGGCGGCATTAACGTGAACTTCCGACTCTACGGTGACCGCTTTGTTGTTTGCTCGTTAGTCCAACTAGCCGCAAATTGAGATCGTCTCTATTCCTCGCGTATCTATCGAGATTATTTCCTACATCGACATTTGATCGTGAAACAAACCTACCTGTTTCTCGAAGGCAAACATCGGGGCAATTTTTGGGGGTGGTTTGATACATTGAACTGTTGGTCTTTAATAAAGAAAAAAAAGCAGGAACAATACAATATATTTTTATTAAATGTTCCAATGGTAAATTGCTTGTAAACATCGTTTGTTTCCCAGAAAGAAATAAAATTGCTTTCGTACAGATACTAAAAATACACTGTGATTTACACCGTAACGAGAAATGGTTTCCCCGGGACAAACGGTTTTATTAGAGATCGGAATGCGTTGTATCGTGAAAACAAACTCTTGAAAAATGTCCGCGAATATATTCAGAATAGGATATTCGACTCACCACAGGTGTAGATGATTTTTAAGTAAGTTCGGCTCTCTAGGCTGCATGGTTCGCCAAACGTCGAACTGTTCGCCACCACGGTGCAACGTCGTTTCCCATGGCACATATTTATCACGATTTCCGTCGCGTGCGGTGCGATGCACGCTGTAATCAATTGAAATCGATTAGTTTAACACCTTCCATCGTTTGATCGACGATGTTTTTTTCTTCACTTCGTCAAAGATCGCACGGATCAGTCGTCGATTGAAAATCGAATGACGGATTAAAGAGTGATTGTGACTATTTTATCTCGCTTAATGGAAACGTCAACTTCATCAATCCGCGAGTAATAATCCTATATTTGACAACAGTTCTGCAGCGAGCGTATATCGGTATAAAGCATGCTTTTACGTCTCTTTTTATAACAAGTTGTTCTGGAATTTTTCATTTGAACAGAGATTTTCTATGATTTGAAATGTGTTAGGATATTGATCGAGAAGAATTTAACAGCAGATAGTTTCATAAAATAGAGAAAAATATTATCCTTGATTTCAATGTTTCGATGAATTTATAGTATGGATCATTCTAAGATAACCATTCTGTGATATCTTATGCACTCCCACTCTATGTTTACGAATTCATGCAGCTCACTGTACATCTTATCATGTTGAGGATTTGCGAACTACGCGAGGATATACAGCTAGGCTACATGTACATATACTACGGCAGGATATGTATATGCTTAACTGGTGAAGCGTGAGGATAATCTTATTACGAAGCATATATATATAAATAGAAGGAAGACAGATAATCTGTTGTTCTCGTGTAGAGCACCAGAAGCTCGTGAGCTACTTCCTTTTATGAAATAGAGAATTATTTTAAATGACAGTATTAATTTCTGTAAGTTATCCTCTAGTTTGCGAATACTAACTACCCATGAAATTTTTATTCAATTTTCATATATCAATATTCATTTACTCACTTTCTTCCTTCACATCGTGTGGTTGAGGACACTGATGAGATTCATATTCCGTTCTACCAAATGATGCACTAAAAATTGCAACCCTCTGTCCGGGATGGCAGGCAAGATTGATATGATCATTCTCGCACGCTACTTTGCTTCTGAATTCATCTGAAAAAAGTAGGAAATTCATAATAATTTCATTGTTCTTAACACATTATTGGAAAAATCAATTGATAATAAAAGTTAGATGTACCTCAATTAAGAAGAAATTGAAAATGAAGGTTACACCTTTTAAACTTTAGTTATTATCAATTATAAAGTAATAGTGCTTATCTATTTTATTTATGGCTGGTGACACAAATCCAAAATAGGAAATGTGTAGCATATTAAACTCGATATTGGAACGGTATTGGGAATAATTTTGACAAGAAGCTAATATCAACCTAATATCACGAAATATCGATTATTAGAGTAAACTTGGAAACAGATTGTTCTGGTAATAATATACCCCGTCAGTTGGAATGTTCTCTAACCAGACTATTCCAATGTATTATCAGCATGAAGCTCTCGAAGTATAGAGATATCACAATCCTTCAACGTAAACGCGACAGTCCCTGTGTCTTAGGTACAAGAATTTCTCGTTGACGATTGTGCTACTTGGGGGAATCAATTTATGGACGATTAATACTGGATAATCGGAATTCTATCCGCTACGAATATTATGCCAATGCTATTATAGATGGAAACTGGCGCGAAGTTAGGAACCTCTCGTGAATAGTTCTATAAAATTTATTGAATATTAATTGAGCTAAAATAGTGCTCTGTTAACTGTAGGAAATTTGACACAATTCGATGACATAACATTTTCATTGTAAGCAAAAATTTAAAATGCAGATGCTCTACATCGGTCTATAATCACGAAATTGTTAAACAGCTTCGTAACAAATGTTCTAAATTCGAAACAGGGAAATTGCTATAACGGATGATTACCATATGATAATATAAACTGTTCAGATAAATCTAACAATAACAGGTAATAAATAAGATAAATTGTAGCAATAACTTGGAGATGCGTGGTCGATATTTGGTACGGATCTCGATAAACTGTGCTACTGAATCATAAATAAAATTATTATCTTCGATGTCCAAGCTGTGCAGCGCTTTTCTGCATGCACAATTTCACTACTTGTACATATTAAACGCTGTTGCGTGTTTCTAATATATTAGTACATTAGCTGAATAATAATGTTATATTCGTAACTTGTATTTTCGTGATTAGACGATAAATAGGATGATCAAAATACAGAAGGATTCCAAAGTAAACTAGCCGAGCATGTAGCAAAGCGATTCATCAAGGATAGTAGTATCAATGGCTCGTGAAATTTCCCAGAAAGACGGGAACGATCCTCGCAAACTTCCTTATCGGGCAATCCTCCGGGCGAGACTCCGGTCTAAAGCATTAATTGGCAAGGAGGTCTCGAAAAAAGGGGCGCAAAAGGTGTAGGTATAGAAGTAATTGTCTCGGCACCGAGCATGCTCGACCACTCGAAACGACAATGGACCAGCTTGGAAACTTTTTCCACGTCTCTTCGATCGACCCACATTCGATGGAATCTTGAGTTCTGTGTATGGCGTGAACTACAGTAGAATTCTAATCATTAGTTCTAAATATACTATATTTGGAACTAATTATATACCTTGCAAAATAGTAATTTTTCTAATCTCTCATATAATTCCATTCATTGCACAAAATGTGCAGCTGTCAAAGTGTTAATAATTTAGAAAGATCGTCAGTCAATCTACATGAAAGCATGATAAAAGGGAGTCGGAGACATACAGATAGCACGGTAATTCAAACGCAATGAATTAACGAGACAAATACACATTACACGTGTCACGTTGGCTGCCAAAACCAGCCGACACCTCACGTGTCGACCGCAAATCTATTCGACGACACACGTGCCACTTATTGCGGCATCGCGTCATTAGCTGAACGTGCATCACTTGACTAATTCATTTTTCTTCGTAATCCAGTGAACGATGTTACGTTGTTTCAACGCGTGCACTGAATAATTGTTTAGTAATTGATGAGGCTCAGCTTCGGCTACCGAATCGATTTTCATTTAGAAGCGATAAACACTCTCATTTAACGTTTCGAATGTGGAACATGTGGAGAATTTAAATAATGATATTGAAGGATTTTATTCAATTTAATTGAAACACGAGGATATTTAATCTTCTGAATCAATAAAATTTAGGTATACAAATCAAACATAGAAGGGTGTTAATTAAGTGAGTATTTTACGTCCTTTTATTTTTAACAACGCGCTTAGATGAAATCAAGTCGAATGAAAGTACGTCTAGGAAAACGAAAAGAGATGTTCGTCGAGGGGTAGAACTAGTAGGGGGTCTATTAGATAAACGTAATCGATATCGAAGTTAAATCTTCCTTTCAACGGCAGAGCAATGTTCCATCGGCATTTCTCGACGTTTCTCCTTACACCTCTCCAATTGATCGTCCAGTGGAATAGATTTAAATCGCTAACCCGGAATATCTCACGCAAGGAAAGCAATAAAGCTGAACTTAATGGAATCGCGCGTAACTGATAACATTCGTCGAGAACGATGCGCGTGATGCAATATTCACGAAGAAATTGGAGTGTTTCAATCATTCCCGTCGCAGAGGGTGTTCGATCCGTCCGTTCGAACGTTGCGGAACCGGCTATTTTATATTGGAACGAGCGTTCACTGTTTTAATGGATTTTCTGTATAACTTGTTGCCCTCGTCTCTCCCTGCTTTCCACAGGAAAACGTGACCGTACATATGGTGGGCTATAAAAAAAAATATAGAAAACGTATGATTGTACACGTGTAGAATACGGTGCTTGGTATATATCGAAGTCAGAGAAGTGACCTCACAAAATCAATAATGACAAGCTGTCAGTGAACCGAACAGCGTGGTCGGGTCGAAAAAGAAAAAATGAATTTTGTTAAAAGAGAGGAGAGAAAAATATTGTTCTTTCTGAAATCTGAAAAAAGAATTGAAATTTGAAATATCTGATGAATTTTCTGTTTTCAACTAAACTTTGAATATCGTTGAGTAAGTTGTATAATTTTAATACTATTTATATCATCAACGAGCAATGAATAGTTCTACGCGGTTGCCAGTTTTTCGAATGGTGAATAATTAACTAAATCGTCGGATGATTAAACCTAATGACAATTATTCAGAGTCCAGCTGGCGGTGGGTGCGAAAATACTTGTCTGTTCGAGGTCGTTTATTTAATTAAACGGTGATTCAGGATGTTCAGCATGGGGTGACATTAATCTGGCAAAAGTAATTTGCACGTTTACGACGCGCAACGTGGATTTTCATCCCTCTACGTGTTTCTACCGTCGATCCGGTTAAAATCAACTTCCGGAAAGGAGATCTCGATCGATTTAACTAAGCCACATTCAACTGTCCCATTATTTGATTAATCGATCGTTCCTTTTTTCGACTTTTATCTGTTTCGATGTGACGAATCAAATGATTAACTTTTGCCCCCTGTGGCTGGGGGGTTTAGAATACAGCCTCGGTATCCCCTGCCTGTCGTAAGAGGCGACTAATAGGGGGATGCGAAACGCATCTCAGCTTTCCCGAAGCGGGAAAAATATATGAAATGGAATGATTAACTTTTGTCTTTTCTATTTCGACGTCATCGTTGTTTTTATACTTCTCATCGACGTCAGATTAAATTCAATTATCCTTGAAATAAACACGACAAGGGACTGTTGTGTATCATCGGACAGCTAGTGGACGAGCCTTTTAAATGAAACTCGAGCGGAAATTCCAATTTCGCTAAGCAGCCACTTCCTCGCAAATTAAAATTCCATCCAGTGAAACCCGTTAACAGGTGATGCAACGAAATTCGTTTTATCCTTACGACTTGTGAATTTCTCTGATTGTTAAAAAAATTGACACATTGATCCAGCAGGTCATTTATTTTTTCATTTATTTAGTTGGATCTTCTTCATTTTCTGATTATTTTGCTAAATTAAATTCATAGCAAGCTGAATTTTTCCACGATAGTCTGTTGATGCTAGCAAACAATAAGAGACTCGATTCACCAGAATTTTGAAAGTCAAAAGGTAGCTTCGAATAAAGGAACCAAGAGGAAAGCGAGCAGATGATAAAACAGTGGGGCATGTTTATTGCATGGCAAGTAAAATATGTATATTAACCGTAGGAACCCCGGCGTACGGATCTGTGCATCTACAATACGGCCGTGACAACCTGTTGCCGTAACAAGCTCGAAGTAATTTTTGCCGGAGGGCGTAGTAATTCTTTCCGTTCCGTGTTTTACGCTCGTGCTCTCTCGCCTATGCACTCGACCTATACCCACCTTGTTTACCGCGCCAACCCATTGCACCTAGATCATCCTCTATTTTAGAGCACACGTTGCCATGGTAACTTGGGATCCTGATTAAAATATAGGATGATATATAGATACAGGGATCATGATCATAATTTTGTACCTATGAAAATAATGATTTAATGCATTCTAAATAAGTGCAACTAATGCAAGTGCAGTGTTCGAAAATAATTTCTGTAGCAATTCTAAATTACCCGATTCATGACTGTAAGATCGAAACGACAGACTGTCAAAAAGCCTTTCATTTTACGTTACAGTCAATTAGTACGTTTTTCAAGAAATGATCGAACGACGTTCATCAACTGATCCACGTAGGACAAGAATTTTTCTCGTTTCGTCGTCGCATTTACGGTAACGCGAGCAAAGAATCTTCCTCGAGCTACATCCATAGCTTGGCCAGTCTCTGAACTGGGCTAATGTTCGACATCCCCGTAAAAAGGCATCGATAAGTGCTGCAAGGAAAAACGAGCTCGTCTCGGAGTGAGATCTCGAGCTATGCTCGTGTGTGCACCTTGCACAATGCACTTTGACCGTCTCTACTACTCCTCTTTCCTGTTACATTTGATAGAAGTTCAGTTGTATTTTTTATTACTTAATTTCCCGTGAATTCTTCCCCGGCGACAGAATTGCAAATTAGAAATGAAACAGAGAAATTTACTCAAATTTCAGAATAATAATATAAAAGTAACATGTAGTATCTACCCTGAAAAGATACCCAGGCAAAATGGGATAAAAAAATTGAATTACGTGTACCTCGAAAAACATGAAACATATTTTTAAATTCAAAATGTGAGATGTGTTTCGGAATAATGAAACAGAACAAAGGAGAACTGAAATAGAATGTCAAAAGCGGCGAACAACGCGTAGGTATTCTTCCGGCTATCCTACATTTTTCCATTTTATAAAAACATTTTACAATCCATCGTTTGAATGTGGTTTCATGAAAACGTATCAAGGGATTTTCGAATAAAGAACTATTGATTGAAAGAGTTGTAAAAGTGTTAAGTGAAAGAATAATTACTTACAAGGACGGCATTTGTAGGCGACCTCGATGTACTTCGGAAGTCCAGGACACGGATCGCCTTCAAAGGTCTTTGGACTGGTGTTGAACTTGCATTGCCTCTTCTTGTGACATTGCTCCACTACCGTCTGTAACAGTGAGTACTAACACGTCATTCAGAAGATCCGCTCACTTTACGATGAGATTCAATGTTATTTAATTAAAATATTTAAGGAAATGATTAATTAAATTTATGCAATTTTCGATGGATATTGCATGTGTATATTAGAAGCAAAATTATGTATTTCGATGTAATTAGATTCTAGCACATCAGGTAAACATGTTTATACTAAAATGCATAATTGGCTACCATATTATTACACGATGCTCAGGGAAGCATTAAATGTTTCTTTGACAAACATACGTGTTTCCATACGTACGTTTCAGTGTAATGTCCATTAACTCAATGACAAATTGGCTCTACGCGAGGAATGTGTTAATTTTCCTGCTACTAAAATTTCATTGCGTCCGTCTAAAAGCACCATCCCCTGTTTTTATTAGAAATAGTCACATCAGAGAAACAAACCCATAGTAGCGTGATTCGATATCACAGTTCCTCGTTCAATGGTTTAAAGTTTCAAAGTTCGTTTGTTAGTAAGCGAAAAACTGTATTACAAGGTATCGACGTCAAACGTGTCAGTAAATAGAAGTACGCCTGTCTTTTTCGTAGTTAATTCGCTTTCGAAACAGCATGTCATTCGAAGATACGAAGAAAAGAAGAACACGGGGTAGAAAGTGGGCTAACAATGGGATCGTATTGCATCGTGAACAAGAAGGGAGACACAATTTAGTCTCATACTACCCAAGTGTTACACTCACTTATTAATGAAACTTTGCCAGCTTGTAGGGCTCGACGAGCTGAACACGCCTATACCCCATTTTGGGGGCAGACGGCAAATTGTTTAAAAGATATTAACAATTACAGTTAGTTACTCCTTACATACTGAAATATGACAAACTCACACATACAACTCGCAATCTAGAGATCCACAGTTAAAATCCTTGGTTCCCAACATTTTTCTTTTTTTCAATGATAATTTGTCTCTTTTTGAATAATCAAAATTCTATATAATTCTAAACTAAAATTCTATATTCTATTTTGAATAACTTAAATTCTATAAAAATTGCAGTGTATGTAATTAATTAATAATAAATGCAATGATTATAGCACAACTGTAATAGTTGTTCAAAAAAAGACAAATTATCATTAAAAAAAAAAAAAAAAAAAAAAAAAGAATGGGAACCCAGGATTTGAACCGAGGACCTTTAGATTGCGACTCATGTATTTAACCACGGAGCGGATTCATGCCTCGCAATCTGAAGGTCCTCGGTTCAAATCCTTGGTTCCCCAAAATTGTTTTTTTTTTTTTTTATGATAATTTTTATGTAATAGTTATTCAAAAAGAGACAACCTTCAATCCCTTTTAAAAAATCATTTTGCACTAATAATTTTTTTTTATTATAAAATAAATTTAGTATTTGAAATATTTCTATCAATTCAAAGAAGATAAAAATTTCTCTTTGACATATGATCTTCCTATTCTATTTACATATCAATTCCGTCATAATATCTGGCATGGAATCTGGCAGGATATTAAAGAGAAATAAAATACGACGCCTTTAGCTACGCTCGCGGTATCATTTTTATTAACCCCGAGTTCAATTTGCCCATCGAAGTCGTGTTAAACGAAAAATCCAATTAAAAAATCTCTACGAACGAATCCGTCTACGCATTTTCGAACACGCCGATACATAAAACAATGGCACAACAAATATTTCAGTCTAATAATTTTCTGTTCTGTGTCAGATTGTTGTATTCATCATTTAGTCGCGTCGTATCGTGTTTGAAAACTGATTAATCAATTTTTGCAAAACACACTGCTTGAAGCTGTTGTTGTTTTATCTACGATCACAAAGAAATTTCGATATTTTCAATTTCCGAAGTATTAATTAGAATATTCAACAGAGAATATAATTGTCATTTTATTGACGTTTTTATGAATGTTTGAAGATGTCAGAAAATTTAATCGACGACAGTTTGATCGTTCGTATATCCAATAAAAAATCCAATCGAACGAAACTTCAATGAAATTTTAATCTAGGATAACAATATCCCTGGTCTTTTAGTTTACATTGAAACGTTTAAATATGTTCTCTTTTATTCAACGTATAGTAGATATTGATTTAACAGAAAGTTAGAAGGATTATGAAGAATCGTAGAAGTTCGTTTTCGGAACGAGCACGAACAAACAGAGAAAGCTTATTTCAGTTTTAATTAAGAAAATTTCATTTTCGTTCAAATTGCTCGTAAAAAAGAAATGGATCGATCGAGGCTGCAGTTTACCATCACGGTTTTTGCGATTTCGATATCCACCAAGCGAGAAGTTATTCGCCTCCGAAATTGCTGCTGCTCCTACGAGATATTGTCTCAAATTCCTGAGATGCCGTTTTTATAGAAAACTCGACTGACCCTCGTTTCACAAATAATCTGTATCATCTTCGAAAATTGAGAACGATCTTGATTCAATTTCAACCCTTATAACCCAATTTTTTTTCTTCTGACTTAAGAAAACATTCTATAACGTGGCACTAGTGAATACTCAGCTTTAGATATGGATTAACAATCAACCCTTCTTTATTTCTTAAATTTGATTTTCTAAATTTCACTTGAAATTTCTCTTATTTAAAAACTCTGTATATTTCTTTATTACCAAGACCTCCATATTGTCACTTTTATTACACTTCTCAAGACAAAGATTCAAATTTCCATCGACGACAAATCAAACACGATGAAACAGAACACAAAGTAAAATTTTCCATCTTTTGCACAGTTCAAATACCAAACCACAGATACCACAAAAATTTCCGATCCTTAACAGCAAACAAAAGCTAAAACAACCTCGATAAATCAAACAAATGTTATCTCTGCATCCATGTGTAACAATTCGTGAAAAATCCCGTGAAATTTGAGCAAGCTTTACCAATCGATGCATTGAAATATTATCCCCGATAAGGGGAGGCTCGTCTAATCTACGAAACATTTGCTCTCACGCATTTAATTATTGACTATCTGAGCTTCCACCCGTTTCCACGCGTTTCACGTACGAATGAGAAAAGCTCCCGCGGGAGAAATCGATTTCCTGTATACATCGATGCACACATTTGGCGCCCATTCGACCTCCTCCTTTCCCTCTTGGAACACCCTCTTCTCATCCTCATGCACCTTTACACGCTCGAACGCTTATCCCGTGGTCCATTAGTTCCTCGGTTAACGATACGTTTCCCTGTCGTTCCGGAAACAGGATATCATTGGAAGCAACGCGAGACACAGGTGCGCAGAACGAGTTAGGAAAATCAGTCTGGAATACGGTGATGAGGGTATGATCGTATTATCAATAAAGTAAGTTGTTTCATCTATATAATTTCTTGGATATAATTATACGCAGTCATCTAAAATTACATCTTCGCTATATGATTAATTGCATATCGTCTAAAGTGTTAGGAGGTAATGTTTAAAAAAATAAATAATGCCAATTTAAATAATATTTGATTTATTTTCATCAAAATTGAAATTGTAATTACACAGTATAATTATTCAAACGATTAGTATGGCTAATGATACTAAATATTAACCAACAATATCGTGATTAAACGTTTTACAAGCTACATAATATATAGATCGAGATGAAATATGTACATGGACAGCTAATCATTTCTATAAATCATGTAAATTCGATCGAGACGACTATACTGGATGATTGTTCGAAGCAATTAATTTTGTATAATACCCTTGTATAATTCAGGCGGATTTAATCTGTTTAGCGTTGTATCATTGAATTAATTAGTACACTAATAATTCATTTCGTGTCATGTTATCCATGGAGGAAGACGAATATTTTTGTACAAATCACTCCGTCGCTGTTATAATATAAAATAGTAATAACATAGATCTCCAGGTGTCTCCATAACATAGATCTCCATGTTTCGTAGGATTAATTGCGAAATCGAATCAGGAAATTTCATTGAAAGTCGACTCGTTTTTATAATCCTTCCTTTTCTGGATGAACACATCTACTGAATGGAGATTTCCATGTTATCGTGATCTTCCACGTTATCAGAAGACTTCGATCAGCGGGCAATTTCAAGCTCGGAAAATCTCGAACTTGTTACTGGAATTTAACGATAAACGGCGAGCCAGAATCGCGTTGTACGTGATTGCACACGTCGATTTATCGTGATCACGAGTTATCACGTGGCTTCGTTCCGTGGAATCGCACTCGATGCACGTAGTTGATAAAAACGGTGCTATGAAAATAAACGAGCAAATACCATGGCCTCGATACATGTCCTTCTCTCATTCTTCTTTCCAACAGTTACAACACTAGAATAAAAAATTGTATTTTACATAATTTTATTTGTAAGAGTATACGGATAAGTTCAGTACAAAAAGTACTAAACATTTTCAGAGTTGCAAATTTATATTCCTTTTTCTTCAAAATCAAGTATCTCAATAATTGAGGAAAAAGGTTTTCACATTTCTATTCAATGCACAAAAATGTCCAAATTGCTGGAGAATAGTATATGTAATTAGAACGAACGTATTCGTCCTCGTAATTACTAACTTTCTAAAACAATTATTCCTTGATCAACGAAAGACTCTTTTCAAATTCTTTCTCCGTCCAATTAACAATCAATCGGCGATTACGAAAGGAATTACCACGTGGAAACGGTGGCTAATAGCATCAGCGATTCGTCTATTCTTACGTTCGTCTCGTTCCATCAAAGACGCTTCATTCGGAGAAAGGAGACAAAATTGCGCGGTGCCTCCGCTTTGAAAGAAAAGTTCGTTCCCTTTGGGTGTCATTAAATTGCAACTCCAACGAAAATGGCGAACTGATCGGACACCGTTATCAACCGCAGAACAAAGTCAAATTCCCTCAGTCTTATAGCGACCGCGAAGCGGTGCGGATCTAGACGTTAAACATACATATACGTATATACACATACCCTTATATTATATTCTGCATTCATTTCATTTGCTGTATTTATCTTCTTATCTTCTTGTATAAATTCATTAGGGGGATGAACTTGATTTTATTCCGCT